CTTCAATAACTCAAGGATTTCATTAATAAAGAGATTTTAAAAGATTTGAATGGATTTCAAGCTCTCTTTTCGAATTTCACCATTTTGAATGAGTTTTCTATGGTATTTTGTGAAATCTATTCAAATCTACAAAATTCATTAGAATTTATAATTTTTTAAAACCCATCAAAATTTCAGTTGAGGACACTCCTTTAAAAAGATTATAGAGAATTGTGAAATTGTACGTATTTAATCCTGTAATTCATCCCAATTACAAGAATAAATCAATCGAACCATAGTTGGATTTGGATAATACTTCAAAATTTACAGCATCCAACTTTTTTCACAAAATCTATAGGTAATTCTACAATAAATTACTATTATTTTAATTGCTTTCTAGCCATTGGAAAAAGTATAAAAAGATGCGAATAGGCACTAATCATCGCCACACACAAAAAAAAAACCTTATTTTGTAGTATACAAAAATGTCTCTTCGAGCACCTTATCCACCTTGTGCGAGTAGTGATGGCTACTGTGATACAGGTGAGTTCATGTCCTATGTTTATGTTAAAAAGTTAATGTATAAAAAAAATTATATACGATGGTTGCACATCCAAATAAAAGAAATTTTAGCACAAGGATTATGCTGCTTTTGAATATTTAGCATATCATTTTCTATATATTTTAGTAAAGTCCATTTCTTAATTTGTTACAATATAGGATACAAAGCCACGTGGCCTAACACACTTGGTATGGATGGAGAACAAGCTAAGGCGATCATTGAGAAAGACAACCCATTGGTGACTGTTTTGATTAGAGCTCCAAACAACTATGTAATTCATAATTTCTGTTGTAATCGAGTCTGGGTTTTCGTTGATGAGCATTACAAAGTGTTAGTTATTCCAAAGGTTGGCTAAATACTGCGTGGAAAGTTGATGAAGTAAAAGCAGAACTATTTCTCAATAAAAACCTCTTAATTGTAGGGGACAATTAGTAAACATTTCATATGTTTAAAACTGTTGTTGTTGGCTCTATGATTTTTTCAAACTGCATGAGATCATCTCCCATTAATGATATTTATTTATGACACCTTAGACTTGATCACATTAGAATTTAAAGACTAGCAACGGATGGTCATTCAAGTGAATTTCAAGATGGCATCCCTTCTGGTATGTAGACCAATTAGTGTCTAGACTAGAGGTGGATATGAATACTTCGTCACTTTCACAAATTATTACTCCAAATACGACTATGTATATCTGATGGCTCGACGTCCTTGAAAAGTTCAAGGGAGGAAAAGTAATTAGGTAAAATATTAAGACACTTTGATCAAATCGATGGGAAAAGTAGCTACCCCATGACATTAGAACATACATATTAGAGAATGGATTCTATCTCAATTGAGTGCACCAAGTACACCCAGCAAAATGGTGTCTCAGATGGAAGACACAAGACCCTAAAGAGAATATATTTTATTTATTTATTTTTACCTAATTAGAGATCTATAAATAGGATTATTTCATTCTTATGAAAGACAAACGTATTCTTGAGGCAAATTACATATTCTAACACGAATTCTCGAGATTCGTGGCTCTAATTTGGATTTGAAGGATAAATTTCATCAATTGGCCGAAGTTTTATAATTATCAAGGAAAAGATTGACTTGCTATAGGTACATGGAAAAAAACAGATTCAAAAACAGGTGCACCACGTGTCGGCGCACGATTGAGCAATTTGAAAAATAAAAAAAACAATACTCAATCAACACTTGACACATCACCCTGTTTTTTCCCAGACAAGGAGAATAATTCAAAGATTGAAGATTCATTGGGATTCGTGTGGCAAAGATTTTAACAATATTTTAGATTATTTTATTAATTCGTTGGGTTGAATCAATTGATGTTTTTGATCCTTTTATTGTTTAAGTCCCCAATTATGAGAGGTTATATACTTTATTTTTAGGATTAATGATGTAGCTTAGGTTTAATATTTAATTATACATAAGATGTCATGCAACTTCACTTTATTAATTGCTTATTGTGTATTTAACGACTTTCAATTTTTTGGGCACCAATTACTTGGTTTAGGTCAATATTGAGATCAGATGAGATATATTTGTTTAGTGTGTGTAATACGTGACATGATACTTCTATAGCTCTTGAATTAATTTCTGCGAATTTCTATTATAATCGAGTCTGGGTTTTCGTTTATGAGAATCTCAAAATTTTAGTTGTGTCAAAGGTTGGCTAAAAACTATGGAAAGTTGACGAACTACAACATGAACTATTTTTCAATAAGAACTAACTTTGATATGAAATGAAATCCATATGTTTCCTTCTTGATTAATCAATTTCGAATTGTTGGACGTGTAAAAAACCCACAGGCTCACCTACTCTGATTAGAATGTTATCAAAGCTGTGGGGGATAGCATTCTCATAATTTAAATGGTATTAGGCCGATTTAGAATAAAATAAAAATGTTTAAAATTATGTTGATAGAAATTTTAAAATTGATTATCGATCCAAAACATTATCAAACCCTAAAATTCACAAATCCTTTTCACACATACAAATCATCAATGTTTAAATCAATGAGAACAACTAAATAAAACCGGAAGCGTACCTTGATTCATAGATTTCTGATTCTTTGTCTGAATGAGTTATGATCTTCCAATTTGATTTGTGATCTTTTTAATTTCGATCTCTGTTGATGGGGATGCAGAAAATTTAGAAGAACACAACAAATTGGAGATCATGACCCAATATAACCATAAGACGATAAATGGTCATTGTCTTTCGTTTGTTTCGAATCGGCCTCTCATCAATCTAAAACAAACATTCGGTCTCTACACTTTAATTCCATGAAACTTAATGCCCATTAGTCAAAATTCATCTTTAGTGGATCACTTTAATTGACTAATATCCTGTAAATAATAG